TCTGTGAGCAGATTCTCTAGTCGGAAAGGCTGGCTCAGGGGGATCTCCCGCCTCAGGATGTCGCTCTGCCACACCTGATTGACCATCTCGTCCCGGAACTCCCAGGTGAAGGCGCCCTCATAGCTCAGGAAGGCCGCGCACAGCAGACAGTCCCCCAGCAGCTTCACCCGCCGGTGCTTGAGCTCCTCCAGGTCTTTCAGCCACCTGGTGGGAGAGGAGGCTGCGCTGAGGGCTCCCCTCCCGCCACCATCCCAAGAACAGTCTGCGGACTCCTCTAGATATTCCAGAGTGCGTGATAAGTCATTCTAGACTACGGTTTCCCTGAGGTTAAGGATTAGGAGAGGAAGATGCTCATTACCTGATGTGACGCACTGAGCTATGCTACCACACTCCACAAAGATGTACAAACCTGTGTGTCAACTTCAACAAACACGTTGGCTAGAACAGGAGGAGGAGGAGGAGGAGATCGTTTAAAATCAGAATAATAAACAGATGCATTTTTCGACTGTCATCTCATGCAAGAAGATTCCAAAGGGGAGCAGATAAATGAAGAGTGGACCTCAGTTCTCCACAACTAAAGAGGCACTAAGAACAACTACAAGAAGAACATTCCAGAAGGACCCGCTCAACAGGGCCAGCCAGAGGGAAAGATTTTTAGGGAGATTCTTTTCTCCTATAAAGGGAGCTTGCCAGCATTTCCCTGCTCAGCCCACCAGCATTTTGAAAGGCGGGTTCAGTTCCAGGACCCTGCACAGCTCGAGCTCCAGCAGGGGCTCAGTAAACCTTAGTGGGACTCTTTAATCCCAACCTGTTTACCAGGTGGTGATCCCACTGCTTCAAACCCCTTAATCCAAGACAGTACTAAGGCCAGCACAGTCAAGAGCTCAGGTCCTACCTGGCAAGACAGTTCTACCAGGACCCAAGAGAGCGATCGCTCCACTTGGCCTCTTACAGTCAGTACTCAGAGTCTTACAGGTTTTAGGGATACTGGAAATTGTTTCCCACAAGCAGAAAATAGTTTCCAGTGCTTTCTACGTCACACTTATGGATGCCAGATTAGAAACAATCATCCTGTCTCATGGAAAAGCATCGCCAGTCTCACCCACAAATATCAAACAGCCCCACCCACTTCAGATTGAGCCTAGGACCGACAACAGCTGTACCCTTAAAAATTACCTCTGCAGTGACAGAGGTGGGCCCCCTTCTCATGTCCTTTAGAGGCACCCAGGGGTTAAAAACCACCAAGAAGTCCACATACCCTAAACCTCAGACAGCTGCTGGATGCAATAGTTTTCTCCAGGTCTCTGCCCTGCACCAGCTCCTTCAACCCTTAGTGGTGACTCCATAAACGGCCCTCGGTACCCAGTGAGAGCTGTCTACAAAACGGCCCTCGGCCACCTCAACCATGACAACCACAAAACAACTCATCACGTGGTTTTTCCAATGGAAACACAAGGTGAAAGGGAGAATCCACAGGGAAGGGGATGGTGCCCACCAAGTCCCATGGGGCCCTGCTCGTCGGGTGGGACACATGCATAGGCTGACCTGACGTTTTCTGATCCTAGACCCGAGATGAGTTTGTCCGCGGCAATCAGCCGCCTCTCCATGATCTCGGCTTCCTCCTGGAGCTTCTGCTTCTCAAGGATGGCGGCCTCGTACTTGGCCCCCAGCGCTTCCAGTTCTCTCTGGATCGCAGCCAATTCATTCTGGATCTTTTCCAGTTCCCGTTTAGTGAGGTAGAAATTCCGCTCCAGCCGGGCCACCTAAATGAAGACAAACTGCAGGTCATCTCAAGGGACCATGGGGGGCAGTGGTCAGAGGGTTGCGGACCTGGGCGGTGTCCACACTGCACTCTTTAGTAGTTCCAACCTATGGCTCTATGCCACGTTCAGACGCGAGGCTTCTTTTCTGAGTTACCCCCTCAAATGCCATCTGCAAAAGCTCTACATCCCTTGGCAAAATGACATCCTGTACCCAGGACAGCAGATGGCTGGATCTTCATGGGTACTGAGGTCGTAGTGAGAGGATACTGTGGTTCTGAGTCAAAAACTCAAAAGAATACACTGGGAACCAGACTGGGCTTACTAGTGGTCCTAAGTTTTCTGAGTAAAAAAAAATTCTGCGTTAGAAAGCACTGTCAAACTAGGACTCAAAATGAAGAGCTCGGCCTGATCTCGTTGTTTCTAGGGTTCCACATGTTAGTTCACCCCAGTTGTTCTCAACTGGGCTGATATTATCCCCCAAAACATGGCAACATCCAGAGACATTTCTGGATGTCATAGACTGGGGGCAAGGCCAGGGACACTACTACACATATATGAAGCACAAGGTGGCCCCTAAAGAGCGAGCTGGCCCTCCCCCAAAGCCCAGAGCCCAGGCTGAGGAGCTCTGCTCCACCCTGAACAGTGACATGGACACCTTCCTCCAACACTTTTGGCAGGAAATTGGAAGACCTTCCAGAGCCGGCCGTGTCCACTCCTGCGACATCTAAGCAAGCTGGATTTCAGGGTCACCATGTACTGGGGGAAATGTTCACAGGTTTCTGAATCTGCCAGAACTCTCCCAGCAAAGCTGCGGCCATGTCAATCCTGACTCTAAGACGTTGTCGACGGTGGTGACTGGTCTCACACTGGTCTCACACTGGCGGAGGGGCGGTTACCTTTTCTCTCTTGGGCTTGATCTCCCTGAAGACATCACAGTAGCCCATGACGGCCTCCACGAACTTGAGCATCCCCAGACCAGCTTTGCTCACGGCCTCCATTTCCTCAATCGTGGTATTGAGGGTCTTCAAGAGGCCTAAAGTCAAAGACCCCAACCCCACAGGCTTAGTGTTGGGGAAAACGAAACCGGAAATGAGCCTATTGACAAAGGAAGGGCAACTGGCTCCTTATTCCTTGGTGACACTGGAGCTGAACCCACGCAGCTCCATGGGACATGTGGGGGACTGGCAAAAATGAGTCTCACACACATGACGTTTAAGATGTGTGTGGGGGCAAAGCCACTGCTGGGATGTCCCTGGACCTAGGGGCCTCCGGGTGACACACAGGAGCCTGGGAACCAGCGTGTCAAGGGGTCTCATGACTGAGCACATGGTGGCTAGGCACAGGCAGCTGACTGGGACTTGGGGGCCACTCTGGCCTCCGCCTGCACCTCACCCCAGGTCCTCTCCCCGAATGGAAGCCACTCACTCGGGATCAGGCAGAGGGTACACTTGGGATTGGACACTCACTGCTCTTGTCTGTGTCTGGTTGCTTTTGCTTCTAAGGGGGTGAAAAGGAACCCTTGGCATTGGGTCTGAGGGGACCGTGACAGTATGAACCTGCACTGCTTTTTGCACAGCTGTCCTTTCACCTAACCAAGCGCGAGAGCCGAGCACCCAGCAGGGGCAGGAGTCAGCCCAAGGGAACTCGGTGTCTGTGAACCAAGGCACAGTGCTGGCTCTGGGAGACGTCCCCTCCCCACTGCCTATTCTGAGGGGTCCATGGAGACTTTACTGGGGGGAGTCAAGTGCACCGTGTGCACTGATGGGACACACAGAGGACAGGCTGGGTCAGTCCCAGCAAGATTGTTTCCTACTGCTCAGTCTGACAAGCAGAGGCCATCAGTTTCCTCTCTCCCTGCCATTTTCCTCTGGGGACAGTCAGTAGGCTGTCCACCTGCAGGACAGTGGTGACCCTCTGATCTCAGAGAAGGCCTGCCCCTGGTAAGCCCCCTGCCCCGCTGCCCATCCTCTGTAGGGTGGGGGCAGCCCTAGCTGGCTGCACGTTCCCACACTCACCCTTGATGCTTTTAACCTGGCTCTGGGAAATGGAGTCGAAGTCGAGCTCCATCAGAGACCGCAGGAAGTTGGGGTCGGACATCATGCCTTTGGCGGTCTTCCAGTTGAGCTCCTTGTAGCCCTTTATGATGAGGATGCACTCGCACACGGTCTGCACCTGCCTCGGTGGCTTGGCAAAGGACCTGGCGGGGACGGGAGTGTGTGTGGGTCTCATGGGGGTGTGGCTGGGTCTGGCCGGTGCTCACTCCAGGAATGAGTCTGAGAAGCCAAGGACACCAGGTCCCCCCACACACACACATGGGGTCCTGGGTGGGAGCTCTAAGGGCAGGGACAGGGCCCCTGTCAGGTTGGATAAGGCTCCTGGAACCCAACTGAGCCTCAGAATCATGGGGGTGGGGATAGGCGTTAAAATACCAACCCAGGCCACCTGTGCAGCCAGGTCCACAGGTTAGAGCAGAGTCTGGGAACCTGCCTTTTAATTACACCCCCCGTGACTACTTAGATTAAGTGGTGGCTGCGTCACTTCTGTCTTTATCACCATCAACACCATCATCTTCCCGTTTACTAGGTAAGAAACAGGCTGTGGGCACTGGACCACCCCGTGTTCACACAGCTGGGCTGGAGCTGGGCCCACGCTTTGGCTCCTCCAGGATTTGGCCCTCATTGACGTCTATGGCCTCAATAGACTACCTGCTTCTCCAACACCAGGCGCCCTGAGTCCCCCAGAGAACCAGAGCCCAAAGAAACAAGAGACAGAACAGCATTGGTTCAAAGCTCCAGCAGGGCCCAGCAGGCCACAGGGTAACTTGCTGGTGCCAGGGCCACCAGGCAGCTGCAGAAGGTGCTGATCTCCAGACAAAGCTGTGAGGAGACAGCGAGAGGAGTGGGACGAAGGAGCCCAGGAGGGGAGAGGGAAGAGCAGGAGCCCAGGAGGGGAGAGGGAGGAGCAGGAGCCCAGGAGGGGAGAGGGACGAGCAGGAGGGGCATGGGCCTCAGGAGGGCCTGGAAACAAGGTGTGGCCTGGCAGGTGCCCAGACTCCAGTGTGGTGCTCCAGGAGGCAAGTAGGTGGGGGAGATAAGACTATTGCTGCCCTCCTGAAGAAAGAACCATCGCAAACTCCACTCCCCATATCTCCCTACACTACCCCAGGCTCGCCAGCCACCTGCTTTTCTCTGAGCCAAGCTCTCACCGCCTTGGAGGGCGCCCCCTGGAGCCAGGAGCACAGACTGCAGGCTCCTGTGGCCGGGCAGGACTGCCTGGCCCAATGCCACCAGCCCCAGGGCCTATTCAGGGTGGCAGGAATTGGATCCAATGACTACGGAATAAATGGAAGGAAGAAAAGCACAATCATAAGCCAGCGACAAAGGGCACCTTTATACTCCAACAGCAGAGAAACATCCGCTTCCAATCTCCGTTGCTCCTCGTCTTCCTGGCTTATCGTTTAATTATTTCTACAAAGGGGATTGAGCATTATAGATAGGAAGTGCCCTCCAAGGAATTAAGGTTATGAAATTGTCAAGATGTAAGTGCTGGCCCATCAGGCTTGCCATCCCAAAGACCCAACAAAGGCCAGACCAAAGTCGTGGGGGATGGATGGCTGGATTCAAACTCACACAGGACCCCGGCAAACAAACAAACGAAAAATCCAAATAGATCAAAAAATTTTAAATGAAAAAAAACTGAATCATAAAGGTACAGAAAGAAACTGTGCTTTGTGACACCATCTGACAAGAGCAAGGCATTTTAACTGACAGGATATTAAAAGGAACAATATAGAATACTGCCACATACACAGCAAAAACAAACACACGCACAAACCTTGTTAATAAAATCAAACAGCCAAGACAAACTAGAAGATATCTGCACTCACTGTGTGAGTGGATAGCGAATCCCTGTCATACAAAATGCCATTTGGGGGCTGAGGGCTAGCCCAGGGGCAGAGCAGGTGCCTAGCTTTCAAGGCCCTGGACTCCATCTCCAGCTCTGCAAAAAAGAGAAAGAAAAGCCCCTGGAAATGATTAAGAAGACAAAAGCAACAGTAATAACAACAACTTCACAGATAAACAACATGAGACAGCATTTTCCACAATGACAAAAAAAAGGCCACCTCACGCTAGTTAGAACTACACAGATGCCACTCTCCACCTACAAAAGCAGCAGCAGAGATCCAATGTCAACAGCGCCCTCTGCTGGTGAGGGAAACAGGCCTCAGGCGGCCTGGGGAGGAGCAGGTCCCCCAGGGCCAGGCATCATGAACCACACCCTTGGACCCAGTACCACGGCCAGAAACACACCCCGTGGGGGGCTTGCCCAGCACACGGCAAAGCAACCAGGTTTGCTCTGCGTGAAGGCAAGGGACTGGAGGCCAGCTAAAGCCACAGCCACAGGGCCTGGCTGAGCAGACTGCCTAGCCCGACACAGGACGGGACGGTTTAAAATAACAGGGTGTTCACCACATGCGCGCCTGCAGCAGATCTCCAAAATGCAAGCAGAAGAACATGAATGGTGTGCTTTCATTTGTCCACCCTCACTCTCAAACCCTCGGACTCCAGCCAGGGGCTGAAGAGAGCCTCAAATATCAGGTAGCCCGGGAAGCTGCTGGGCTGGGCTGCAGCACGCCGATATGACATTGGAACAGGACAATGGCTAAAGCTATGCAGGCACTGCTTAGGTGCCCAGCCCAGTCTGATGATTCTTCACACACTAGCGCCTTTTATCCTCACAACCGCCCTGATTCATCGGGGATGACTGTCATCATCCACATTTTACAAGTGAGGAAGCAAGCACAGAGAGGTTAGCTGAAGGTCACAGAGCCTTAGACAACAAGCTGAAGGTCATGAAGCTGGTAAGAGGCAGAGCCATGCAGGACTGTATTCCCTGCTCTAATGGCTCTTTTTTTTTCTTTTTTTTAATGTTTACCATGACAGGGACAGAACACAGGGGCTCGCACATGCCAGGCAAGTGCTCTATTTTTTTTTCAAATACCTTATTAGTTGTTGACCTTTATTTTTTCATATGTGGTGCTAAGAATCGAACCCAGTGCCTCACACATGCCAGGCAAATGCTCTACCACTCAGCCCCAGCCCCAGCCCTCCACAATAGCACTTCAAACATCACTCCCTTTAGGTCTTCAGGCCATCAGCCACTTTTAGCTCTCTCAGGCACGAGGCCTGTCTAACTCAGGGATGCATCAAGTTCTCCATGTGACCCCAGGGACCCCCCTCCCCTGCCCTCAATCAGGGGGACACTGCCTTCCCTGCCCCTCCTCTCTAGATGCCCTTCAGCGTCCTTCCCAGCTCTCTAAGCTGCTGCTGGGAGCTGCCCATACCGTGTAGCCAGAGGTAGGGTGTTTTCCTTGAAAATGCAGTTGACTATCCCTCCTATCACCTGGCCCACACGCAGCCCCACCTTGTCCTGGCACCTCCATCTGCCACCCAGCAGGGACATTTATAGCACCTGCCCTAAAGCTCCCATCAGCACCACACTCTGCAGAACACTGGAGGGATGACTTGTTGGTCACATGGCAGCAACTCTGGTGTCACTCAGGTCCCCAGTGCAGCAGGGACTGAGTTCCTGTTCAAGTTCCCATACAGGAGAAGGGCCCAACCTTTTGTGAGATCCGCATGAGACACACAGGGCACAGGGACACAGGAGCGGCACAGGAGTAGGAACAAGGTGAGACCGACTATCGACCTGGAAGCAGGAGCCTCTCTGGGTGGGCAAAGGGGGAAGCCAGGCCTGATCCTCTTGAGGCTTTCAACTTATCAACCAAGTCCACGCACGGCCCTGCAGAGACCAAGCTACACAGGGGAAGCTCACCTGCCCACCCCCGCTGGCCACTCCTCCTGATAGCAAGTGACAGGAGTGGTTTACAGAATGTCTGGGGGCCATGACAGTGACCCACTCCCCACACTGCTTTTTTTTTTAGTTGTTGGGCTTGGGCTGGGGCTGTTACAGAGCACTCGCCTAGCATGTGTGAAGCCCTGGGTTCGATCCTCAGTGCCACAGAAAAATAAATAAATAAAACAAAGGTATTGTGTCTGCCTACAACTAAAAAAATTTTTTAATAAAAAAAAGATTTTTTAGTTGTTGATGGACCTTTATTTTATTCATTTATGTATATGCGGTGCTGAGACTCACACCCAGGGCCTCACACATGCTAGGCAAGCGCTGTACCACTGAGCCCCAGCCCTCCCAGTGCTTCTCTATAGAAATTGATGGGGGCTGAGGAAGGCCTCCTGCTGTTTCCACAGGGTGCTGGCACCCTGGCCTGTTTAGAGCACACACTGGCTTTTGCAGAGGACAGAGGAGCACCGTTCTATCCCTGCCTCCTCGCAGCCCTGCGTGAGCTGACCTGGGTTCAAGGCCGGCAGGCATAGCTTCCTGGGCTGGGGGCCAGGGTGGCCACCTCACCTCCAGGCCTCCCTTCTGTCTGTAAATGTGGGCAGTGACGGTCCCTGTGTACAGTGCTCAGCACTGCGGCTGGCACCTGTGGGCACCAGCAGAAGCAAAGGGGGGGCCACAGCACACCTGGGGTCCCCATTACCTGATCTCCGTCACATCCGACTTATCCAGCTTCTGCAGCTCCAGCTTGGCGGCCTCCAGGATGGGCATGACCTCGGCAAGGGCTGTCTCGGCCTCTGTCTTCTCCACCGCGATGATCTTATTCTGCTCCTCTATCTCGATGGCCTTCTCCTCCGCCAGCTTCTTCTTCTCCTCCGCTGCAGGGCAGCGAAGCCGTGAGCAGCTGAGCCTCAAGTTCTGGGCCACACGGGGCTCAAGGGAGCTCTGGCCAGCGTGACAGCCTCCGGCCTTGCCAGTGGGACAGAGTCCTCAACATGCGGGGTCTGGACACCTAGTGGCTTCTCCAACTCTGCCTCCCTCCACTGGCCCACCCAAGTCCACCCACTCTGTACCATGGCAGGTCACACACCTACCCCTGCCTGGGCAGTGTTGGCTGAGGACCCAGTGCTGCCTGAGATATCTCTCTCTCTCTCTCTCTCTCATGTCTCATATTCACTCAGAGCCAGGCCAGCAGCCATCCCCTCTAGGAGGGCTGCCCTCTGTCATCTCACGCTGACTACTGGCCTCCCAACACTGACCACGGTCAGAACCTTCGTCCAATCACCAGAGCATTTACTGTCTGCTGCCTCCAGGACGCACACACCTTCCCGGGCCTGGAACCCAGTCCCCATGGGCCTGGCCCACAGGAGGTATAGTGGGGTGAACAGTGTTCCCCCAAAAGTCAGGTCCATGGGAACCCCAGGAAAGGACCTTATTTGGAAATAATGTAATTAGTTAAGATGAGGTTACCCTGGGCTAGGGAAGCTCAGGTGACAGGTGTCCTTCAAGAAGTTTAGGCCTCACATTTGACACATGTATTGAATTATCTCCACGTTGCCATAAATCTGTACAATTTTATATGTCAAATTTTTTCTTTTAAATTAAAGCCACGGGGGGGGGGTGGTTGTGGCTCAGTGGCAGAGCGCTTGCCTAGCATGCACGAGGCACCCAGCACTACATAAACAAACTATAATAAACAAAATAAAGGTACTGTGTCCATCCACAACTAAAAATTTTTTAAAATTAATTAAAGCCACGTGCAGACCCACCAAGAGGAAGGTCACAGGGTGAAGGAGGCAGCCTGGGCTGGTGATCTCCAGGCTGCGGCCTACTGAGGACCACCTACAAGCAAGCAGTGGGAACAGGCCGGTCCCCAGGGGGCTCCGCACTTGCCTACAGCGGTGTTGGTGGAGATCTCCTCCAGCAGGGCCTCGCAGGCAGCTGACTTCTCAGCCAGCACGACCCTCTGCTCAGCCAGCTTCTGGTTCAGCTCGTCCAGCTGGATGGTGGCCTCCTTCAGCTTGTCCAGCCCGCCCTCCAGGCGCTTGCACTGAGCTGGGGACAGACGGCACCCATTCACTGTCCCCACGCCTGCTCCCTGTGCCCCAGGCTCGCCTTCTGTGGCCTCCCTGAGGTTCATCCAACTTGGGTTCATCAGGGGGAACCATTCACTTGTCACACAGTGTCACTATGTTCCAGTCCCTCCTGCACCGGCACAGCATGGGCCCAAATGAACTCGGGAAGAGGAGACCTGGATCCCTACACCTGAGCATTGCGACATCAGGCGACCAGCCATCCCCAAGCCTTACCTATGTTAAACTGAGTCTTCTCATCCAGCAACTTCGAGTACGTATTAATAAAATCCAGGTAATTCTTAGGCGTCACATAGTTGCTGCGCCTCAGTTTCTGGAGAAATTGTTTGCTGAATTCACCAACGGACTCATGGACCAAGACCACGTGTTCCACCAGGTCTTCTATATTTTCTCCTGGGATCATTGGATTAGCCCCTGGAGAGGGAGGACAGGCAACGCTGCCTCTCAGTGAGAGGATGGCTCCCAGTGAGCCCAGCCTGGAATCACCCGGCCCAGAGGCCCGCTGTGGCACAGGCGTGAGCCCCAATGCAGGGCTCTGCAGGTCCACCAAGGCTCACATTAATGCTGGGGCAGGCAGCACATAGCCACAACAGGCTGACGGCACCACAACAGGGTGAGCCTCAGAGAAAGAGAAAGAAGGCCACCTGAACGGACGGACATGGACATGGGGGGATTCCATCATCCACAAAGGCAGGCGGTTGTGCTGATGGGAGGAGGGAGAGAGTCTGCATTTAGAGCAGTTAGGAGGGTGACGAGTTCTAGAAATGGGTCCTGTGATGGCTGTGTAGCCCTATGACTGTTACAAATGCCACAGGTGCACTTAAAAGTTGGCAAAATGGAAAAGCTTATGTTAGATATATTTTCCAAAATAAAAAAAATGATTTAAAAATGTAATTTTAAAAAAATAGAAAGAAAAGAGCATTTATAATGAGTGGGTGGCTCTTCTGGACCACTGAGCCAGGCTCCAGCAACATGCCTCAAAGAGAGAGCCACCCCTCTTCCCTGGGCGCCATGGCAGCACACAGCGGGGAGCACGCCACACCTGTCCTGATTGATGCTCCCCAGGGAGCAACCTCTTCCAGCCAGGTGAGCTACTCAGCCCTTTTCTGCTGGATACCCAGCGTGTGGACCTACTGGGCAAAAGGCAGCCTTCCTGTCAACCTGCTAGAAGAATCACTGCAAGAAGCATCCTCTTGAAGACAGAATACACCTCTCGTTCAAGCAAAGGGAGGAGAGTGGACAAAAACATCAGCTGTCGAGGTTCTGCAGTCCCAACCTTGGGTTATACCAGGGGTACTGCCTGCAGGAAAGACGCAGCCTGACAAATATCCACTTTGGGGCATAGTCATCTCGATACCAGGAAACACATTCTAAGGAAAACAATTCTAAGCAAATTCTAGGCAGCATTATTAAAGACACTGAATGCTGAAAGCAAGCTCAAGTGATAATGCTTGAGAATGACTAACACACTTAGGAAAACCAGGGTGCACTACATCAGGGTGCTCATCTATAGCCCAGAAGGAAAATCTGGCCCACTTCCCGCTTTTTAAATAAAGTTTTATTGGAACACAGCCATGGCCATTCATTTGCATATTGTCTATAATGGCATCCACCATATAATTGTAGATTTGAGTAGTTGCAACAGAGGTAAATATTTTCCATCTGGACCTCTGCCGAAGTAGCTTGCTGGCCCCTGAGTCATATCTTAAGACTCATGCTCTTGGCCCCTTCCCAGAAAAAAAAAAAAAAAAGACCTGCATTATGACTGAAGCTATGATCTCTGCTTGCATAGAATGACTATTTATTTATTTATTGGATACATATTTATAAGGCTGAAACTATTTTGAGGTCACTCGGTGGAACTTGTCATAAATCTGTTCAAGGTGGGTCTAGAGAAAAAGATTTTCCCCTGAAGTTCCACTGACATGCCTTCTTATTCAAGGAGTACAATTGCTGTCCAGGGCACAGGTGCTGGAGGGAGTCGAGGCTCACCCACAGCTTGCCCCACGGCCCTTGGGCAACCTCTGCGTTGGAGGTCAGCACACTTTCTCCATCAAGAGCCAAACAGAGACACCTGGTCTCAGTTGCAACTCCTGGCCCTTGCAATTGTGGCATCAAAACAGCCATAGAGGGCTGGGCTGTGGCTCAGTGGTAGAGCGCTTGTCTAGCATGTGTGAGGCCCTGGATTCGATCCTCAGCACCACATGTAAATAAATAAATAAATAAATAAATAAAGGTATATATATATATAACAGCCATAGACAGCATGTGGATTAACGTGTGAGTCCGTGTGCTCACAAAGCTGCGCCCATACAGCAGTAGGCCACACTGGCCACAGGCCATGGCTTGTCAACTCCCGAGGTAGATGCTACTTAATCAATTTCCAATCCAAACTCTTTTGTAAGTCTCCTGAAATCCCTTGGGACTGAAACACAAGGGCAATCTAACAATAAAAAAAACATGTGTTCTTCATAAACTCTTCATAGAGTTTACAGCAAAGGAATCCATGGGGCTAAAGGTCAAGGTTGGAGGGGTGATGTAGAATGGCTTTGTGAGACCCATGACACAGTCCCCACAGTAGCTGGGACTTACCTAAAAATGATTTGGCGACTGCGTGCAGGGCTTGGGGAGGCCAGGACATGAACCAGTCGATCCCAGTGTTATTCACCAGACCTTGGAGAGAGAGGGCAACCACCGCTCTGCACCCGAGACACTCACAACTTCAGCTCGGTCTTCAGTTGCCACCAATGCACTGAACAAGCTGGGCGCGTCCCAGCTGGGCTCAGCCACAGCAGAGTGTCTTATTCTGACACTGGGCACTGCTGACCCTGGGGCCAGATAACCCTGACACAGGCACTGACTGGGCACTGTGCATGCTTACAGCATCCCTGGCTGCCACCCACTGGGTACCAGCAGCATGCCACCTCCCCCTCGGTTCTGACAACTAGACATGTCTCCTGATCCTAATATCCCCGGGGAGCAGCACCTGCCCTCATTAGGAACCTGTGGCTAGGCAGGAACCCTTACACAAGGCTGGTAAGACTGTCCCATGTGGGAGGGGACAAGGAGCCATCCTCCATGCACTGCCACATTGTTCCTGGGAGTGGGAGCACATCCTCAGGCCAGAAGAACATCACCCACTGCTGGTGGCCACTGCAAGGGGCCAGCCAGGCACATCCCACAGTGCAGGCCCTCGTTTCCACTGGAGGCCATGTCTTGTTGACTTGTTGGTGGAAGCTTGGGAGCAAATAGGCAACACACTTAGCCCCAGGTACCTGGGAAATTCCTGCAGCGGGTCCTCAGTGTGTCCCCCACAGGGGACATGCCCAGGACAATGTGCAGATTATTTGCACTCTTGTTCACGAAGTACTGCCACACAGACTCCTTGGCCGGCCCCATGCCCTGCTTTAGGGCTTCCTGTCCAAGCTGGCTGAAAATGATGTCCTTTTCCTCATCTGTGAACAGTGCAGGGACGATCCCTGCAGAACAGATTCATGGGAGCTGGTTTTAAAGTCCCAGGGTCACTGCCTCTCTGTGTACCAGCTAAGATGGCAGAAGAACAGCATGGCAGAGAGAGTAGTGGGTCCTGACGCAGGGCACTAGGGCACTGGGGCACTGGGGCATTGGACTCAGACCCCTGGCCCACTTGCCTGTGGGCAAAGCCCCTGAGCCTCCATCTACCCATCTGTGAAATGGGGGCGATGACACCTCCTGCTCACCCCAGAGGACTGCAGGGAGCTCCGGAGGCCACTGAGTGTGGAAGCCTTGTGTTCTCTAGAGCAGGAACGCTCACCTGGGGCATCTGGCCATCTGGAGACCCTTTCCCATGACTTGGGAAGAGGAGAGCCACCTGCTGCTAATAGGCAGGGGCCAGGGGTACCACAAAACACCCTAGGGTGGTCCCACAGCAGAGCTTCCTGGCCCCAAATGCCAACAGGGCTGTGCTGGGAGCCCCGAGGGCGAGACATCACCATTGGCACATTTCAAATGACACGACACACTGTTAATAAGCAGGTGATGTTAACACAGGGCCAAGGCCACTCACCTTTAAAGCCCCCGCCTCCCTCATCCCCTCCGACCTAGTCCCTAAGGGCAGCTAGAGGGACTCCTGCAGATCACAGATCTAGACCACATCAGGGCACCAGCCCATGAGCCCCGACACTGGGGGACCATCACTGTGCTCCTGCCACGGTGGCCCTTTCCCATCTGACTGTGGCACACAGACCCCTCTGCCTGAAAGGACTTTGCCTGCCCATAGCTGGTCACTACTCCCGTGGCAGGAGCGTGGATGTCGTCCCCTGGTGATGCCCATCCTAATCTCTGGGACCAGTGGTGAGGTTTCCCCACTTCCTGCAATGAAGCCTCAAAGAGGTCTCTGGATCAGCCAGGTGGTCCGACACGTCACAGGGTCCTTATGAGAGAGACCAGCAGTTAGAATTGAGGTGACAGAGAGGAGCCTGGGATGGTGTGATCAGGGACTGAGGCCAGCGGCAGCCTCCAAAATCCAGAAGAGAAGGAGACGGATTCTCAGAAACCCCTAGAAAGACCCCGTCCTTGCTGTGGCCCCACAAGACCCATCCCCAGCTCTGACTCCAGCCCTACGGCGGGAGAATCTGCATTGTTTGAAGCCACAGCGGGAACTGGGGCTAAGTTGCTAGAGCAGCACGGGGAAACAGATACACCAAGCTCAGGTCCCACGTCTGCACACTGGAGCCACCAGGAGAAGGGGCTGGACCCTTCCTCATGGCACCTATTGTGACTTTAGTGGTGGCGCCATCTCTGTGTGTTTCTGTTGCTGATGATAACCAGCCCCACCCCCCACACTGGACCCCAAACTTCAAGGAGGCCAGAGGCATGACTGCCCAGCGTCTAATCCTGCAGGGTAAATCCAAGTGGAGGATGGTCCCTGTCCCTGTAGAGCTGACCCCCATGACTTAAAACTCAACTAACAAAGCCCAGCAAGCACACATTCAAAATGGGCACATTTCTTTGTATGTCAAGTTTACATCCAAAGAAAAACCTACCCAAAACTGGCCTCTGGATAAGAGCAGGCCTGCTGAAGCTTCTTGAGGGGCGGAGGGGGCGGTCTGAGGTTTCACTTGGAAACCCACCAAAACAGGAGGTGGGAGGAGAGGGGGCAAGGCGAGCACAGAGGGGCACTCCCCAGGGAACCTGGCCAGCATGCTGCCATGTCCCTAAAGCCTTCCTTCAGCCTCGTGCTGTGTGTGACATGTTTTATGGGACGGGTGGAGAAGACCTGCTAACACCGCAGGACAATGATGCCTAGAGTCAAGTGCCAACCTGACCCACAGTAAAGGCAGATCCTCCCTGGGAGCCATTTGGTCACACATCTGCGTGAACCTCAGCAGGCTAAGAGGTGGCCAGGATCGTGACTCAGGGTAGCAGTCTCCACCATGGCCATGAGGCTGAAGCCCAAGCCCCTCCTCGGCCCCTTCTTAGCGGGGCACCTTTGGGTGAGTTGTCAGCAGTTTCCTGGTGACCAGCTCCTACAACTGATTACCACAAATTGCACACTTAAAACGATGAAGAAATTTACTCTCACATTTCTGGAGGCCTGAGAGCAGAGATCAAGGCGACTGTCAGCAGGGCTGTGCTCCCACGGAAGGTTTTGGGGACCCTCCCTTGCCAGATTCTGGCATCCCATGGCATGCGGCTGTCTCCATCCTAACAAGGCCTTTTCCTCTATATTCCAGTGATTCCTCTCCTTTCTCTTGTAAAAACAGCTGTCACTGAATTCAGGGCCCATCCCAAATCCAGCGTATCATCTCAAGACTCTTCACTAATCACATCTGCAAAGACGGCTTTTCCTGACAAGGCCCGTTTACAGGTTCTGGGGTCTGGAGTCGGGATGACTTTTGAGGGGTCACTGCTCCACCTCTGGTGGCATCTCTGTACCTCTGTTTCCCCTTAATGGAGCCAGCCAGGTGTCTCCCTCCTGGGGACCCAGCAGTGCTGGGTAAGAAAGTACTTCCAACGGCCCCCAAGCACAGCAGACGCGCATCAGCTGGTCAGGGCAGGGCCACTGGGCAGCCAGACCCACCCCCAGGGGCTGTGGTGAGGAGCAGCCTGATGTGCCCATGAGGCCACCGGCCGCGGGGTACCTGAAGTAAGCATGTTGTTGATGAGCTCCAGGAAGCCCTCCTCAGCCACGTGCGCGTCTGTGAACAGGAAGATCATCGTCTTGTTCTCCAGCCCCAGCTTCATGTAAAGGCTCTTCAGATCCTCCCGGAAGCTGTTCTCAGAGTAGCCTCGGCTCAGCATGATCTCAAACACCTGGGGACACAGGGCAAAGTCACCCAGGCTGGTAGCCTCCCTCCCCAGCCTCCTAAAGGAGGCCAGCACACAGGGAGAGCCTCTGAGTTTGCACGATATCACTGCTGGGCTGTTGGCTAAGGGAGACGGAGGCAATGAGGACAGGTGACTTGGCCAGTCTCACAAAATGACCCAGAGTCAGAAGCACAGGAGGCAGAAAGCCAAAGTACCCTGCTTTTTTTCTGGGGGGAGGTTCAGGGATTGAACCCAGAGGTGCTTAACCACTGTGCCACATCCCCATCCCTTTTTTGAGACAAGGTCTAGCTAAGATGCCCAGGTGGCCCAGAACTTGCGATCCTTCTGCCTCTCCTGCTCAGCCTCCAAAGTTGCTGAATCACAGGCACACGCCACCACATCTGGCCACAGCACCCTGCCTTTGTCAAAGCACCATAGTGTTCTGTGTACACAGAGGAGCATGCGAAGGCACCGCCATGCAGAGAACATGCCTACGTCCAGGAGGCAGCGTGGGAAGGAGAAAGGCACAGAAAGGTCCCCAGAGTCACAGAGCAGTGGACAGCCAGACACAGGCAGGTGGGAAGGGTAGGCAGGGAGGCCAGCAAGAAAGGGCAGGAAAGGGGCACAGCCGGGGCGGCCCAAGCAGCAAGTGTGGACGCTGTCTGAACTCTGCAACCAGAAGGTCCTCCGCACACCTGAGGCGGCTGGCACTAAGGCCCAGGCAGAAGCAGGACTTGTATGTGAGCAGTGGCAGCTACTTGGAACCCTCTCATGCACACAGGTTCACACACACACTTTCACACCCACACACACTGTCCCAGACACGTGCCACACACAGGCACACTTCCACACTGGCGCACGCACAGTCACACACCAGTCACGCAAACTCAAGTAGCAAGCATGACTTCCAGCTGACCAACACTTACTCCGAAGTTCTGTCCAGCACCTGCCCTCCACCTGCCAGCTCCTTGCTCACTAGGGTGCCCACCCACTGGAACCCATGGCCATCCGCCTCGGCCTCCAGGGCCCCAGCCCACTCTACACACCCTCGTCTTCTCCTGAGTCCCGTCCCTCAATATCCCTTCTGCGGTCCTTCCCAGGCGGCCTCAGAGGAAGACCTCAGAGTTGCCAGACAATCCCCTGTGGGAGTCTGGAAGATTCTGAATGGTGAGGAGAAGCAGGAGCCCTGGGACCCTGCTGGTGGGAATGCAAATCAGCCCAGCCACTGCAGAACAGTGTGGCGGCTCCTGCAAGGGTGAGCCCCAGAACCACGACGTGACCCAGCAGTGCCACCCCATCCTCCTTAAGAAGCCCCAAGAGCAAGGGAAACATAGGTCCACCCAGAGATTCCCACGTGGACATTTATAGCATTATCCACAGTGGCCAAGAGGCAGAGCAGCCCAGAGGTCCACGGGTGAGGGGACACGTGGACAAATGCAGTGTGTCCACACAGGGACCAGGATTTGGCTAAAACAAGAACATCACCCAGATGCAGGCCACACTTGGTAAGCCCTGCAGCTGCCACGGCTGCCACGTACTGTGCTATGCTACGCATGTGACAGTCCAGGCAGGGTCGTCCTCAGAGACTTGGGGGAGGGTGGGGTGATGGCAGCTGCGGGCACAGGGCTTTCTTAGAAGTGGTGGGAATGCTCTAAAGGAGTCCAGGGTGATGGCTGCTCACATCTGAATGACAAGAAGCACCGATCTGCACACAGAGCGCGTGGATAACACGGCCCTGAGTTGTACTACAATAAAGCTGTTTTTAAAGAGAGAGAGCTTCTAAGATTAATGTAAAACTGCATGTGTTGCTGTGCAGCTGTGGTTGCCCGGCAAATGGTTGGCCCCTAACAGCAGCCCACCGAGGTCTGCCCAGGCCGGCCTCCCTGCGGCGGATGCACATTGGGATCTGCAGCAACTGCCTGCGTTTGGCTTTTGACCTTGACCCGACATCTTCTCCAATCTAAGAACAATACAACAGTTAGACGCTTTGGATATTCCGTTAAAATATGCCCAAAACAGGTAAGCGAGCAAAAACAAACCAACTCAACTCCCTACTCTGTGACAACGTTATGCTATACCAGGTGCAGGGCCCAGACCTGTAACCCCTGCCAATCGAGAGGCTGTGGCAGGAGGATCACAAGTTCCAGGCCAACCTGGACAACATAACAAGACTCAATCTCCAAATAAATAAACAAATAAATAAAAAGGGCTAGGGCTGGGGCTCAGAGATTAAGCACCCCCAGACTCAATCCCCAGGACTAAAAAAAAATCACTTAGGATCTGCTGTAGGTGGTTCCAGGATCTGCAGGAACTCCCTCCTGGCTGCAGGGACTGGCAGGACCGGCCTTCCTGGAAGGGAGGTGGCCTCACCTCGTAGCCAGCCGTGAAGGCGGCCAGCCTTGCGAGCGACTGCTTCCCCGAGCCACCCTCGCCCACCAGCAGCGCATGGCCGCGGTCCATGCGGATGATGCGATGTACGCGGGTCAAGTGCTCCAGTGCGTCATCGAAGAGCACCAAGTTCATCCTGGTGTTGATCTCATTGTACTCCTCAAGAATTTCCTGAATTAAAAAAAAAAAAAAATTTTAAGGATCACTGTTTTTTAAGAGGTGAACTTTCTCCTTTTGTGCAGGACAGATTAAGGACGGAGGAAAGATTTTTTTCTTTCCTGAAAAATCATTGTATTAATTGAATCAGTTGGGCTCCCAGGACTGGATCCACTCTCAAATCCAGACTCCACCCTACCGGCGCTGGTCAGCCAGCGGCGAGCCAGGGCAGACCACAGGTGTGGGAGCCTCAGGGTCAGGCACCAGGCCCCTGGGGATGGAGCCACTGTCACACCAGTGCTCCAGGAGGAAGCAGACGCGGGCGAGAAGGAGCCCACCACACCTGGAACAGCGCTTTGGCCGCCTCGTAGTCCTGGATGTCCTCGTAGATACGTGTCTCCTCCTCATGCAGAGCCATCCGAAAGTCCCCAAACAGAATGGGATCCCTCATCACTACCTCCTCATCCTCCTCAAAGTGCTCCAAAACCAAGTTTCCTATGTGATCTTGCACCTTAAAACATAAGCCGGTTAAGGACCCACACTCAAGGACAGCAGTCCCGCACTGACTCATGTCAGGACAAGCTCCCACACTGTCACCATCTGAGTGACCTGCCTTCCATTTTCTCCCTTGACAGCTACAGAGTACTTATGAGCCAGCCCCCCACCCATCAGCTTTGACTGTTAGTGTCTGCCTTTTTGCCATTCTATATATTTTTTAAATGCGTTGTTTTCTCTGCGCGCACGTGGGCATGTGTGTGCGTGTGTGTGTTTGCGTGTGTGTGTGTGTGTGTGTGTGTGTATGTGTGTGTGTGTGACAAGAGCTTGGTCCTCCTAGAGAGCAGTTCTGTGGCTGGCCTTTGCATCTGCTGGCACATCCCCATGCACTAACCAGCTGCTTGTCTGTTTCGTTGATCAGCCGGTCATGGAAGACCCTCAGACACTCATTCCTCCAGACTCTCACCATCTGGGCCACCGTCTGGAACCTATGGAACATGGCGGAAGGGGCAAGTCAGCCTCGAGGGCCCCTGGAGAGGAGTGGGCCACCTGCTGCCGTTCCCAGAAGGATGCATGGGAGGCGGCTCGGGAGCTGCACCCTGGAGTGCCTTCTCTAGCCTCCCATTAGTGAAGTCTAACCAGGAGCCAATGGATGAAGTGCAAAGACTCCAGGTCACCATCCATAACTTGCCCTATCCGAGGGAAGAAAGGGCCCTCTCTCTATGCAGCATATGTGATGGAAAACTCCTAGCACTACCCTGTTGCTGGAATGTCTGAATTTAGAATCAGCATAAGGGCCCCTGGCAGCTCCTGTATCTCAACTGGAAACAACTGGTCACATGAGCAAAAGGATTCGGGTGAATTCCAACTTCAGAGCTGAAGGCGGGTGGCAAAGCCATCCCACCCAAGGGGTCAGAGATACTTGTCCACCTGTCCAACCTCTGCTGTTGGTCCCACTGGTTTTCTGCCCAGGGGTTTGCAAAGAGCCCAGCCTTGACTCCAGCATTTGACTCTATTCTTCACTTAACACAGCAAAGACGTTGGGAATTAACTGACACACTGGTTCTTCAAGTTCACTGACAAGCCCCCCCCACCCCCATCTTAAGAGAATAAAAGAAACCGTCAAATTGGCAGGATTTATCTTGTTAATATCCAACAAACTAACCGCTGGGGGTTGGTGAGCACAAGGCCACTGAACACCCGGGAGAGATCACGGAGGTTGAAGATGTAATGGAACTTTGAAGGGGTGGGCGGCAGGTCCTGGACGATGTTCTTGTAGAGCGTCAGCGTGCAGGAGGTCAGCAGGCCACTCACTGCCACGATGCTCTCGTGAAAGTCCTGAGACAGGAAAAGCCCCCACCCCCGGGTGTCCATGAATGGGAGAGTGGACAAAGGAAAGAACGTCACCCAGAGGGAATATTTAGCCATGAGAAGGAAGGGAGCCTTGAACACACGGGGAGCCGTGAACACACACAGCTAACCAAGTGCAAGAAGCCAGATGACTCGATCCATGTAAAACCCCCAGGACGGGCAAACCCACAGAGATGGGAGGTCGGTGGGTTTCTAGGGATTGGCGGGTGGGGAAGGGTGGGCAGCTGCTGCAGTGTGAGATCAGGGTTCCCCTGGGGGAGAAGAGGCTGTGAAATCAGACACTGGGGTGGGGACGCCTACGTGCCACGAGTGTACAGAGTAGCTCGGAATTCTATGCTTTAAAGTGGCCACGGCAACGAATTTTACATAATGTGAATTTTGTCACATTTTTTTTATGAGGGAAGAGGTGAACAGACCAGAGAAGCTCATCATCTGACCTGCTTTTATGGCCTTGGGTTTCCATGTCCACTGGGAAGTCAATGAACTGTGAAACCAAAGACCCATGCCAGCCGCCCTGGGAGTTATCTGCCGGGCACACCTTTGGGAAAGGCATGAACTTGCCAGGTACTCAGGGTGGCCATGATATCTGCTGCTGCACAGCCTCACCTTACCCACCTGGCCCCAGGGCACAGGCCTAATGTCAGTAGGCAAGACTCCAGGTGGGTCCAAGGCACTTCAGCCTCTGCGGCCCCCCTTCTTGTACATTAAAATCACATTTTGTGACTGCATGGGTATAAAGGTGAATGTTTTTCTTCTGATTTTGAAACACAGTAAAACATCTTCCTGGTCCCCTGAATGCACTGCAGGCCCTTGGCTTGGGCCTGGTGTGTCTGATGTGTCAATCAGTCTGCGTACATTTCTGCCCAACCGTGTCCCCCATTTGTACTTCTGATTTAAAGAGTTACCGCGGTGTGGCCTTTCAGGATGGAGAAGTAAATCAGGTACAAGGACTCCTCTGAAGGGAACGGCACGTTGAAGGTGCTGAACAGTGAAAGGAACCTGGGGTCCACCTCGTTGCGGCCTCCTCCGGCTTTCCCCATGGCAGCGATGAAGCCGAGGTCCCGGATGTTCTTACAGTTCAGCTCCTTCCCACGGTCGTACAAGTAGCCTTTTTCCAGCAGCAGCTTCAGCAGGGCAATTGGCTGCTGGGTGCCATATTCATCCACCTTGATGATTTTTTTTTAAGAGAAAAAAGAGAATAGCAGTATTTCAAGGTAGAGCTCTGAGAAGCCTGAGCGTCTGGACCAAAGCTTGGCCCTCCTCTCATCCCAGAGCATCCTGGGCTTAATTTCGTTTGGCTTCTCAAAGTTTGCAATTAGATACTCATTGGTGATTTTTAAAGTCTCTCTCTCTCACTAGACTGTAAGCTCCATAGGTCTCACACACTGCACAGCGCTGACCATCAAAGATGTCAATTCATCCTCCCACTCACTGGATGGATGAATGAATGGATGGAAGGATGGAAGGACAGATGGATGGACAGCAAGAAGGATGGATGAGAGATAGAAGGAAGGATGGAAGATGGATGGGTGGATGGAGGGATAAATGGATGGGTGGACGGAAGAATGGATGGACAGATGGTAGGAAGGATGCATGGAAGGATGGAAGGATGGATGGAATGATAGAAGGATGGATGGAAAGATGGATGGGTGGATGATGGGATGGAGGGATGGATAGATGGATGGGAGGAGAATGGGTGGATGGGTGGGTGGATGGATGGATGGAAGGATGGAAGGATGAAAGGATGGATGGAGGGAGGGAAGGATGAGAGGATGAATGGAAGGATGGAAGGATGGATGGACAGATGGAAGGATGAATGGGGGTAGATGGATGGATGGAAGGATGGATGGATGGGTGGATGGGAGAATGGATGGACAGATGATGGATGGGTAGATGAATAAAGTTATAGATGAACAGACAAATGGATGAATAAATAGATAATAAAGATAACAGATGACAGATAAATGGATGAATTGAGTAATGGATGATTAAGTAACTGAATACATGGGTGGATGGGTGGGTGAATGATCAGATTTACGGGTAGGTGAGTGGATCCTGGTTTTGCACCATCCTTCTGGAAGACAAATCTTCAAGGAAAAGATGGTTCTGTAAAATGATACAAATTTAACTTCCGGTATGCCTAGAGAACTTTGCATGTCTCAGCTTCGGTCCCCAGAAACACACTCGTGATACAGCTGAAGTTCCCCTTCCTCGGCTAATCCCCAGGGGTCCTGCCTTCAGCTTCTCCAGCACAGAGGGCCACCTAAGAGCTCTTGTGGGACACCTCCTCCGACAGAGCTGAGGCTGGGAGGAGGGACTGGGGAGGAGCGGCGGGATGCTGCGTCCTGGCTGCCAGCCACGGCCTGCACTACACACACTGAGAAGGACTGTGCTCAGACACCCTCCTCCCCCCTCCCACCTCACCTTGGGCATATTCATGTCGTCCATGAACACCAGGAGGCATTTGCCCATGGGGGGGCCATAGGTGTCTCTGGTCCGCTTTTCCACGTTGGCTTCCAAGTTTCTCTGGATATCCATGGACGTGGTGCGGGACGAGAAACTGACCATGAGCACAATCTGAAACAGGGAGAAGGCAGGATGCGTTGGCCTCCTCTGCGTGGCACCCGCAGCAAACGTCTGACCGCGAGCTCCCATCTCTGCTGAAGACCCACTGCCTCTGAGCTAATGCTATTGTCACCCAATGTGGGTCTGTGCTTTGTTATTTTTAAGTGCTAAAGCAAGAATTCCTCTTCCTCCTGGCAGGCTGCATGAGCTGATAACGAGCTGCCACACGTGGGCCTCAGCACGTGTGTGTGGCGCAGCAGAAGGGGGACTGGGAGCTGTTAGAGGACCCCAAAGTCACTTAACCCTTTCAGACCCTCCTTCCTTCTCGCCTGAAAGGTGATCTGAATACCACCTTCTGGGACCACTTACTTCCTAGAGTGGTTCCTAGAAGGCATTTTCAATGAGGCAACATTAAAACATAAACTGCTTATGATGGCAGCTGCATCTTAATAAATCAGCCAAAGAGAACGTACACAATCTTGGGGTTGGTCTTTGGAATGAGTTGCTTGGGAAAGAAGGTCTACCTGCTGTACCCTCATGCCTGTGTGCTCGGGCCTCTCCCTGTGCTCAGAGGTGCTGGGAGCCCCTCACCGGGGTGTTCACACTCCTTGATGTGCCAGCCATACCCAGAGGGCTGTGCCAGGCAGCCGGCTGCTCTGTACCCAGAGCTTCCGGTTCTGTAGTTCATGGGTGTCTTGAACAAGCTTTCAGGTAAAGCTAGCTCTGTTGGCCTGGGACCACACATTGGGAACTGTGGCCTTTTAAAGGCCCTCCACCCAGAGTGCCTGTGAGCACAGGTGCACAGAAGCAGACTGTGCTGGCAGCCGGGCTGGGCTGTTAAGCTCCAGCTGCGGAGTCCTCGGGGAGGGGTATCGTGACGTGGCTTCTGAATGTGGCTTCCCTTTGCCCCACTCTGCAAATCTGCAGCTCCCCCGCTCTGTGCCCTCCACAGGGACATCCCTAAAGCCAACTAGGCCATGTTGTCAGTGTCAGTCTAAATGAGCTTGGCTACTCAGACAGATCAGTCCCATTCTGCCCACGCCTCTTACGATGTCCAACACAAAGGTCCCCCCCTGCCCAGAGGCCGGTGAGGCTTGCAGGAGCCCTTGATGCCAGAACTGCTGGAAACAGAAAAGACACAAACTAAAAGACGTGGAAAAGTGAGTGGGGGGAGCTCCTCTCCCCTCCGAGGTTCCAGAAGGCCAAGACAGGAACTAGACTTAAATGGTGACGTGACCAGGGAGTAACAAAAACAGAACCAAGGCAGCCCTGGACCGACTGAAAACCACAGGAGGTTCCTTGGGGGCAAGAGAGTCTTCACTCAGTGATCCAATAGCTAGAAAAATGGCTTGCAGCTTGGGGAATGGACGGTGAGCAGCAGCCAGCCCAGGGAGCAGGTCTGTGTGGACAGGGGCCAGCGCCTTCTTCTGGCTGTCTCAGTGTGCCTGGGGCACAGCACCCTTCTGCTCCAAAGTAACCTGAGTGGCCTGTTCCACTGGGCTTGTCCTGTGGTACCAGCTGGCATGGGCCCCGTGCATAGCAGACCCTCATGCATCTGACTAGTGTCGAGGGATACCACAGAGGGATGATGGGAAGACATGACAGCCAGTCTCCACCATGGAGCCCAGTGCTGTCTCCAGGTGTCCACCACTGGAGGGTGCTCAGTCTGACGCACACAATAGGGCAGAGGTGAGGTCTGTAACCCCAAGATGGCCGCAGCCTCCCTTTGCTGCCCGTCCTGGGCTTTCACTGGAGCCCTAGCTGCAGTCACAGCACTGCTCAGGTTTCAATGTGCCCCAGGTTTCAATCTCCAAATTCATATGTCAATGAGACTTCAGGGTGGGTCCTTGGAAGGTGAAGGGATCCCAAAGGCAAAACCCTTGTGGATTAATGGATTCATCCACTATTAAGGAAGCACCTTTTTTTTTTTTTTTTAATCTTACCTTCTCTGGCAAACCTACTCTGTCTCACCATGTGACACCCTCTGCCACACTATCATGTAGGTAGAAGGTCCTCATCATGCTGGCCCAGGCTCCTGGATTTCCCACCATCCAGAACTATTAGTCAAATAAACTTCTCTTCTTTATAAATTACCTGGTCTTGGGTACTTTGATAAAGCAACAGTTTACAAAAAGCGCACTCAAGCAGCCCTGGGAGAGGCCCACACAGCAGGGAACTAAGGCCTCCAGCCTCTCTCCATATGAAATGCCATCTGAAAGAGGATAATCCAGCCCCTGTCCAGCCAATAGCCTGACTGCAACCTCATGAGAGGACCTGAACTAGGGCCACCCAGCTGAGCCACTGCCAGCCCCTCCACCCACAGACACCAGGAGGTGGTGCTTGTTGTCTTAAGTGACTCTGTGCTGGGCAGTTTGTTACACGGCAATGGGCAACTGATATCAACAACGGCTTACATTAGTGTCTTCACTGAGGTGTCTTAGGAAGTTCTGGGTAGTGGCTGTCTTAGAAGTGCCAGATTCACCAACAAAAATAACAGGCTGCTTAATTTTGACCATTTGTTCCAATATCCAGGTGGTGCGGGTTGTATCCACTGTGTGAACTACAAAAGGAATGGAAGGAACATCAGAAGAGCTCCACATGGCGGGTGGGTGGTGGGTGACAACACAGAACTGTCACAGAATCCCGTAAATCCCATAAAAAGCATCAGTAGAAGCCAAGCCGTGACCTCAGGAACATGTGTGGCAGGTAGAGCTGCTCTGCAGGAGAACCTCGTCACCCCAGCCATTATTCTCCTTGGCTTTATTGAGGCACAAGTTACAAAGGCATCACCCGTTGTAAGTGTAGAATTCGATCAGTCCAACACATTTCTACATATGTTGTGCAAGCACAACGCTGTCCAGGATGACAGCACCCAAACTGCCCCAGCATCCAAGTGAGATTTATGCTCGGGTGCTAAAAAAATGATCTCCCTGCTGCTGAGTCACCCACATGCCTGCAGGATCTGGTCTCCTGACCCACAGCTCCCTCTGCAGAGACTTCAGCCATGAAGTCAGGTCCAGCCTGCCCCCTCCCACGAGGGCAGATTTTAATCACCATGGGTTCTGGAGGACCGGGGTGCCTCACTCTGCAGGTACAATGGACCAAAGCCAGGTGCACATGTTGTGGAGCTATCCAGCCCACATTGTGTCTAACCAGCCCGACGAGTAGACTTAAAATACAGTCTCGGGGGTACACACCAGGGGCACACGCCTTCTCCAGGAAGCACTGTTCACGAGAATGTGCAGGTCACTACCCATGCCCAGCCAGCTTCATGGGCTGGAGAGAGCAGAGGAAATGCCAGAGGAAGCCCGCACCCTCTCCGCGGGCACCGAGGATGCACAGAGCCAGCATCTAAGGGCCTCTCAGGAGGGCCCCTGCCTCCCCACTCTTCTCAGCTCCCTGGGTGGGACTCAGGTGGCCAGCCAGGCCACAGGATGCTTCTCACGTCCTCCCAGGACCAGGGTCACACACCCTCACACCAGGGACAGAGGCATGCCTCTCACTTACCCAGGATGTCCATGAACTTCCTCTGGTGGTCATGCACGTACTCTGGAACCAGCTTACTCCAGGGGATCCAATGGTTCCGTTTGGAATCGAAATGAAACTCGTACAAAGTTGGAAGCTGGCCTGCAGCACAATCAAAGTCCATGTCACTGTGATCGTGGACGTGGGAACATAGGAATCAGTTCTGGTAGGTGCCTCAAATGAGCTAATCCTGCTGGTTCCCTGGATGGCTACCACAGTATCACCTACGTGCCATTTCTTCCCCAGACAGACACTTAGCAAGTGCTTTGAATTAGAGCGACCCGCTCGCCAGTCAGATGCTGAGTGCTTTGACCTAAGGCTACCTGTTCACTGGACAGAAACCTTCCGAGTCCCTTCCGGGGGAACACATAGTGGGGCACAGAACCCTGGTCCCCACCCTTCTGGTGGTGGCGTGTCAGGCAGGTGTAGAGAGAGATAAGAAAATTTAAGAAAATTTATAAATTACTTTCACTGCAGACATACTAATTTCTGCAAAAGGGGAGGACGGCTGCCCATGGAGGCATCTGGTCAAGACGGTGCAGGGAAGGGACAGGAGAAGCACCAGGTGCCGCAGGTAGCCTGGGAGTCCCAGCCCCACCTGTCACCATCACCTCCCTCTCCACACCATTCTTCACCATGATGGTCATTCACAGGGGTGCTATCCAAGCCCACCTCAAAAAGAAGCCCCCTCACAGACCCCTTCCCCATGGGCCCTGCCAATTCAACCTTTTGTACATCCTGGAGGGTGCGTGTTCTTGGTGAAAAAACCGAAACCCTTAATACACCGTGATTTCCCGTGAGTACCGTGCAAAACCCACAGGTGACGGCCTACCATGCAAATGTCAGCAGCGCCAGATTAGCTAAGTCATGGTGCTTCAGACAGATGAGGAGCCCAAAGGAAAAGAGGAGCAAAGTCACGTGGAACACGGGGAGTTAGAGCACCCAGCCAGAGCCAAGGGGCACGTGCCATAGCTCCAGGGAGAAGAGTTGAGACTCCTCAAGAAAGGGCACTCGCAGGGACAGCAGCCAGTGCTCCTGACCTCCTCCTGAGGGCACCACCAGTGCTCTGACCATGGCACCAGAAAACCCACCCAGGCGGGAACACAGGGAATGAGCTCACGGTGTCTGAAAGTCCAACTTGAAGCACTCGGAGAGGGTGAGCAAGTAGGGCTTGGTTCTCACCTGGCAGTTCCCCAGGTTTGGCCCAAACCTCCTCTGTGTCAGCAGTGGGCAAAGAAGCAATGCGTTTGACGCTTTCATCAAATTTAATCCTTCCATCCTCGAGCAGGGAGGCACCCAGGGAGAAGTACAGGGCCTCCAAGAAGAAGCACTCCAGCAGGTCGGGGTCCTCGATTTCTCCCTCCAGTAAGGCATCCAACATCTTGGCTAACTGGGTCACCTGGCTCGTGGAAAACACTGGTTCAGCCCATACATCCTACCCCCACAGAGTCACTTCCGTCCTAAATCTTGGGATTTCCAGATCCCAGAGCAATGGGAACATATGACCCACCATGTTGGTCCAGACAGATGGAGCCCACTGTCGTGGCATGCTCAGGGTCACCAAAACAAAAGGACCCCCACTGACATGTTAGGGTTGACCCCGCTGGCATCTCTGTCCCCCTTAGAAGTCCACTGGGGTCTGTCCTATGGGAAGCTTCTGCTGGATCCTACCATGTTTAGGTCCGTCTGGGGCACTATGGTCTTCAGCTTCTCCCCTTGTCTTCCGTCCACTATACCCTCCACGATCACGTCCATGAGGTAGGGCACGTATTTCTCAAAGAGACTATCCAGATATTTTTGCTCCTCCTGTGAAGGAGCAGAATTCCAAAACATTTGCAAACCTTCACTTATTTAGGTGGATGTTCACAGAAAGTCTTCCTGTCTGAAGACGGAGCAGCGCAGCTAATGAAGGGTGAGGCCACAGGGGACGAAGCCCTGGCAGCAGAGCCTGCGCTGTGGGCAGAACATCCTTTACATTGCCCTTCCACTTCCTTTGGCTGCCACAGGGGCCACTCCGCCCCTGAGAGTGACAGAGACACAAGTTCCCATTCGACAGGAAAGAGGCCTGCCTCTCAGAGTTCCAGCGGCCTGACCAGGCATCCAGCAAGGAGTAGAAAGGAGCAGAGACACTGTCTCTACCCAGCACTGGTGGCCATAGGGACTGAGTGGATCCTCAGGAACTCCATCCCAGATGACAGTCCCTCAAATGGTTCCCTGGTCTTCCCTTCTCTCGGGAATCATGTCCTAACAGCCCTTCTAGAGACCCACCCAGGCCACCTGTTTCCACTTGAGACCATGGTCCAGGTGTCCTGGGCGTGGTCAAGCCACACCCTGTACATGATGGTCACATCCGTCCCTATGTCCATCAGTGAAGCCCACGGTTTAGACAAAACACCTTCTGAGCAGCCATAGGACACGTCACATGGCTTGAGGTCCACTGGAACCTTCAGATCCCAATTACATGACAAGCAGGTCCCTCACGCCTCCCACTGAGCAGAAGCACAGAATCAGGGAGCTCCCGTCCCTCAGGAACTGGGCATGTCTGCCAAAGAGCCCATAAACCCAATCTGGCCTGGCCCCTGTTTCTGTAAATGAACCTCTCAGGGTCCACAGCCGTGTCCTTTCCCATACGCACTGTGTCTGGCTGTATCTGTGCCACAAGACAGAACTGAGTAGGTGCAAAAGAACAAGTGCAGTCCCCAAAGCCTAGAACATTTATTATCTACCCCTCTGTAAGAAATGCTTTTCAACCCCTTGAACTACATGAAGTCGAATGAGTGTGTCACCATGTCTTCATCTGATTTGTGCTCAAGGACACGAGCAGGTCAAGGACCAGGCCTTCAACTACGGCTGGCCACCAATACTGATAACTATAAGTTTATTTCAGAAATAATTTCACCTTATTTTGTATTTGATGAACCCACTTTTTCCAGTACGGTTGGTATTTCAAGTTTTTAGGATCTACATACACCATTCCACATCGAGACACAGTTGCAGGGGAGGCGTACTGTAAATCTCCAACCTGGAGGGAGAGAAAATCACCCATGTCTATACTAGAAACAAGTGCATATATGTTTGGGGGTTTTCTTGGTATTGGGGATTGAACTCAGGGGCACTTGACCACTGAGCCACATCCCCAGCCCTTTTTTGTATTTTATTTAGAGACAGAGTCTCGCTAAATTGCCTAGGGCCTCACCAAATTGCTGAGGCTAGCTTTGAACTCATGATCCTCCTTCCTCAGCCTCCCAAGCCAGCTGGGATTACAGGCATGTGTCCACACCCAGCTTGGATAGATGTTTAAGGGTGTTTTTTTGTGCAAAGTTTTTACAACTCTATAAAATCCACACCACACCCAAATTAATACAGCTTTCCTGAGGGTTTTAATTGAATAC